GAAAGAGAAGGAAGTGGAATTGAGAGAGCAGCAAAGGGAAAGGAGAAAGAGTAAAACACTAGACAGGGAAAGGGAGCAAAGGCAGAGAAAGGGAGATGGACTGAAAGGCACAGTAAAGTCTCATTGTATTTGTCACCAGGCAACTGCCTACATTTCATTTTCATGACTTTCTAGTAGTCACGCTCACAAAGTCTCTTGTCACTGTCTTAGTGCCTGTCACAAATGTGACTACTCAAGACTTGACTTTGTATTTAATTAGCATTTAATTTTTAAAGCCTTTTTTTCTCCTTTTCCCATGAAAAATCTTCCATCTGCTCTCTCAAGGGTACTCTTTCAGTTCAGGTGTCAGATAAGTCACCAAGTGGGGGTCGGAGTGAAGCTTAATGCAATGGTTCTCCACATGGGTCCTAACCTAGGTAGCATAGACCTACACCACCTGAATTAAAGAATTATGTAGGCTATTAAATGGTAGCAGTAGTAGGATGTTAACTTGTAGTAGACCAGCCATCAAGGGTGGAGGTGCATTACCCATACTTTGCCAGATATCAACATTAATACTAAATTAGTTGACTGTATTAAGCATTTAAGAATCAACTGAAAAGAAATCAGGTAGCCAATTCCTATTCAGTTATGTAACTTAATCTATCCCTTTGATGTGCTTACAAACCAAATTCTACCTTCAGATATTTGTGCAGAACTGCCCTAAAGTCAGTGGGAGCCAAGAGCAAAATATAGCCAACTGTTCCCTTCTTCTTAGACTCCTAAAAAATCTGATTGAACAAAGACTAAAACCAAGAATTGGTTTTTGAGGCGCAATCCCGAGTCTTAGAACTAATTAAGCTGATTATTACTTATTTGTGATCATGATAGTCAATGAGAGAGAAAAAATTAATCATTTGTGCTTCGCTGATGATATTGACCTGATTGGATCATTGCAAGAAGAGGGGCAAAAATTGCTGAACGGGAAGCAGAGTGGAAGTGGAGTGGTTAGGTCTAAGTATATCATATGAATCTACAAAGACAATGGTCTGAAAAGGAAAAGATATTCCTACTCAAATCTGAGGAGGCACTAGAATACATTGAGCACTTGAAATTTCTGAGTAGCCTGACTCAAGGGACTCTAAACATCACTTAGGCATCTTCCATAGAATTGGACTAGTAACTGCTGCTCTAGTGCCATTTGGAGAAGCAAAGGTATTACAATGAAGTGTAAAGTGACACTGCTGCAGTCTCGTCCTCAGCATCTTTCTATATGCATGTGAGATACGGATGCTAAGGAAACAGGACATTAAAAGCTTTCTGCCTTCCAATTGAAATGTTACAAGCGATTGCTGCCCAGAGTTTGTGTGCAAGATCTAGCTAATGAAGAAGCAAGCGTCTGAATTTACAGTATAACTGGAGTGATTCCTAATATCATCAAGACAATCAGATGAAGAAAACTTGAGCTTATGGAGTGAATGAGTGAAGGAAGATTGCCAAAGCAAGTTTCGTGGGGACTGGTGCCAGGGGCAGAGAGTATGTAGCTGATGGGACGGGACATGGTACAGCGTGCTTCTCAATGCTGCGTGAAGACTACAAAATGTGGAGGAAGATTGTTGGTCAGTGACTCTCCGGTGTTTTCTCTTCATTATGTGACTCTATGGTGCTTGGCATTTTGAGAATAAATAAAAATAATATACAGCGATCAGAAACATTGCAAATTAATAATCAAAAGGATAGTTTAACTAATTTGGGGACTGATGCTGATATTGCATTTTCTGATTTATCACATTTTAATCAATCTGTTTAGTATCTGACTAAGATTACTGTGACATGAAGCATTATGTACATACTTTTTGAGAACTAAACAGCCTAGGTTTTTTTAGGCATATTAAGCACCCATATCTCCAGTTTAATGGGAGCTGCAGGTGTTCAGTGCCTCTAAAAAAGCTGGCACACTAAAGATGTTCAAGCTTAATTCTCATTTCTTTCCTTCTTCTCCAGATACCTTGGAAGCTTTTAATGAGCCATTTACAAGATACACTGATATAACTATTTAGAAGTAGGGCTATCAAAAATTAATCGTGCATTTAAAAATATTGTAATTAATCGCACTGTTAAACAATAATAGAATATCATTTATTTAAATATTTTTGGATGTTTTCTACATTTTCAAATATATTGATTTCAATTACAACACATAATACAAAGTGTACAGTGCTCACTTTATATTTATTTTTGTTACAAATTTTGCACTGTAAAAAACAAAAGAAAGTATATTTCAATTCACCTAATACAAGTATTGTAGTATAATCTCCTTATAATGAAAGTTGAACTTACAAATGTAGAATTATGTACAAAAAATAACTGCATTCAAAAATAAAACAAGGAAAAACTTTAGAACCTACAAGTCCACTCAGTCCTACTTCAGCCAATCGCTCAGACAAACAAGTTTGGTTACAGTTTGCAGGAGATAATGCTGCCCATGTCTTGTTTACAATGTCACCTGAAAGTGAGAACAGGCGTTCGCATGGCACTGTTGTAACCGGCATCGCAAGATATTTACGTGCAAGATGCACTAAAGATTTGTATGTCCCTTCATGCTTCAAGTACCATTCCAGAGGATATGCGTCCATGCTGATGACGGGTTCTGCTCGGTAACGATCCAAAGCTGAATGGACCGTCGCATGTTCATTTTCATCATCTGAGTCAGAGGCCACCAGAAGAAGGTTGGTTTCTTTTTTGGTGGTTTGGGTTGCTCTTTTAAGACATCTGAAAGCTTTCTCTACATCTCGTCCCTCTCAGATTTTGGAAGGCACTTCAGACTCTTAAACCTTGGGTCTAGTGCTGTATCTATCCTTAGAAATCTCACATTGGTACCTTCTTTGCATTTTGTCAAATCTGCTGTGAAAGTGTTCTTAAAATGAACATGTGCTGGATCATCATCCGAGACTGCTATAACATGAAATATATGACAGAATGCGGGTAAAACAGAACAGGGGACATACAATTCTCCCTCAAGGAGTTCAGTCACAAATTTAATTAACACATTATTTTTTAACAAGTGTCATCAGCATGGAAGCATGTCCTCTGGAATGGTGGCCGAAGCATGAAGGGGCATATGAATGTTTAGCATATTGGCACATAAATATCTTGCAATGCCGGCTACAAAAGTGCCATGTGAGCGCCTGTTCTCACTTTTAGGTGACATTATAAATAAGAAGCAGTCAGCAGTATCTCCCGTAAATGTAAACAAACTTGTCTTAGCAATTGGCTGAACAAGAAGTAGGACTGAGTGGACTAGTACGCTCTAAAGTTTTACATTGTTTTGTATTGAATGCAGTTATGTAACCAAAAAAAATCTACATTTGTAAGTTACACTTTCACGATAAAGAGACTGCACTACAGTACTTGTAAGAGGTGAAGTGAAAAATAATTTTTCTTTTGTTTATCATTTTCAGTACAAATATAAAGTGAGCACTGTACACTTTGTATTCTGTGCTGTAATAGAAATCAATATATTTGAAAATGTAGAAAAACATCCAAAAATATTTAATAAATTTCAGTTGTTATTCTATTAACAGTGTGATTAATTGTGATTTTTTTAATCAAAGTACATTTTTTGAGTTAATCGCGTGAGTTAACTGCGATTAATCAACAGCCCTACTTAGAAGTCTTTTTGTTGTTTATTCACTGAACTGATAAATAACATGGCAAAATATTATTTTCTAATCTATGTGTTGTTAATTTTTGTCACAATCCAATTGCTCTGACACCAAAAAATCAAAATTGATCTGATTTGAAGTCCAAATCATGAATTTTTAATTTCTTTTTAAAAAGAAACCTGAAGAACATTAGCTGTGATTATTTTTAGTTGAGATGGCGTCAGTGAAAGCATTGCCACAGTGTGTCTTGCATCCTTTTACCTTTCTCTCATAGTAACTATTGTAATAATATCAATCATCTCCACAGTAAATGTTGTACTAGATAATGTTTCAGTTGATTTGAAATTTCGGAACAAAGTCAGAGCTAAGTATAGGGTATTTTTTTAAGTGAATACATTTCAATTAATTCAGTGGGGTTAAATCTGGCTTCCATCTGTTTTCTGGGTTATGAGTTCATCAGAACCAGTCCAAGGGCTTACATATTTCCATTACATGGTGCTTTACTTATTATTCCGATTACTCTGTTCCCTGTTGCTGTAAAATATATCTAGCTCTTACTGTGAAAAGTGACTCTGTAAAAACAGCACCGTGGGGTTCATTATTTATTGTGTCTCAGTGACTTCCTGATCAAATGTAAACACAATGGCTCATCTTAACTTCCAGACCTGAAACGCAGCCTGGGTTCTGAAACTCAAATTGTTCTGTCTGGGTCATGCCTTGTCTCTATTAATAAAAGATTTTACAGGCCAAATTCTGTACACCAGTACACCCTCCTCCCCCGACCATTGTCTTCACTGAAGTTACCCAGGGGTATCTGAGGACAGAATTGGATCCTGTAAAATTATGTCAATGCTGAGCTAGATTAGAATTCAGCTCATTCTCTCACAACTTTACTGGCTCTGCAGTTCTAATGGGAGTTAAAAAGTTAAGGCCATATCTACACTAGCGAGTTTACAGCAGCACAGTTGTACTGATGCATCTGCGCCACTGTAAGATCGCTTGTGTAGCTGCTCTAAGCCGATGGGAGAGAGCTCTCCTGTCGACATAATAAAATCAGAGCAGCGGTAGCTTCTCCTGCCGATTTGGCACTGTACACACCGACGCTTCTGTCGGTATAACTTATGTCACTCATGGGGGTGTTTTTTCACACCCTGGAGCAACATAAGTTATCCCAACAAAAGTGGTAGAATAGACATGGCCTAAGAAACGCTTTTATTTTTTTGGGTCAGTACACCAAACAGATATGAATACCCACAGGGAATAGAACTGTTGCATAAGAAATGTATCAATTTTGCAAAGTCACTTTTCAAAACAATGCCATACCTTAAAATAAAAGAGAATAATGTAAGACTTCTATTTAAAAAGTCTGACAATTTTATTTTAGTGTTCTATCTTAAGCCTCGCACAGTGAAATACGCTAGTGAATCCAGTAGATTTATTTGGAGATCACATGCACGTAATACTGTATACAGGTGGTTAAGGAAGCAAAAATTTATTAACTCGTCAAATGTTATACAGAATTTTTTTACACATATGCAAACAATATAAAATCAATGTTCTATAAAAATTATTAATTACTGAATTTGCAAAGAACAAAGGATTCTAAAAAGCTGCAATCAACATTGTAACTTTAATCATTTGATCAAAGTTTATATTTAATCTCTGGCCCTTAAAATTTAGATTCAGAGCAGATGAACAATTTTACTGAACATACATATCAATTGCACAATATATTCTTCTTGAAGTTTAACCCGTGATGCCATCCACAAAGGAGATTCTTTATTCCAAATTTTATTTCATAAACCATACATTATATTAGGTAGTTTTCAAGGCTTAATTATATGAACAGCAATTTATTGTCTCCTCCATGCCTGCTGGGGCAGATCCTCAGCTGGTGTAAACTGCCATAGCTTCAATAGGGCTCTCATTACTCTCTTTACTCCCATTAACGTAAAGAGGAGCTATTTTTAAGCAGCAGGGAGAGAACAGAACCAGTAAAATGTAGACAAACATCATCCATTTCTAAATGTGAAAATTAATTTAAAAACAACGTATCTTTTGTTTCTTTGAGCCAGATTCCCTTTCAAGTCATGAAAACAATCTCTCTCTCTCTCTAAACCAACATGATCAATCTATTTCATTATGCGCAGCCTTGGGCTATGATCCTACAGCTGCCTCCTTTAGAACGGACCCCTGTGCCTAGATGGATGAAACTGCAGCATCTGGGCCTTTGTATACAGACAATACAAATTTCAAATGGCCAGAGCTTGATTGATAAGCTTACCATGGACCTCTTATGTGGGAAGAAATTATTGGTATAGTGTGAATGTTCAGGGCTTTATGCCTTCTCCTGGGCTGAAGTTCAGATCTGTTAAGGTGTTTGTGATTAAGATAACTGAAGTGGAAGAGGCTTCTGGTTTTGGAGCCACAAAGCCATCAGCTCTATCCCTGAAACGGCAGGATTCAGCTGAAGTCTGTGATACCGCCACAGATTGTTTACACAATGAAAATTCCCACTCACCACTCCTCCCTTACATAAATGTTAGTCAGGCCATGAATCTCATAAGAGGATTTTCATATTCACTAGGCTCTCTACAATGTTCATGAGGCTCAAAACATGCCCCTCTGACACAAGGATATTTTTTAACCTCAAAATTAATAATCAAGCCCTAGACAACCTGCACCCATCTAGACAAAGTTGTTGAAAATAGTCAACCATTGTGGGGTCTGGTCTCACCTGGGAGAGGGCACCATGACTGCAATCGCTTGTCTCTGTGGTGTTTTGTTTGGTTTCTTAATCTGATTTTTAGGATAAATGGCCAAAGATTACATTCCTCCTCTTGTGTGTGTCTTTAGAGGCATCAAGTATCCCAGCTGAAGCAACCCAATATCCAAAGAGATAGTAACTAATATTCCATAACTGGAGATTTTGGGGTGGGGTCTCTTTGTGCAGTACAGTAAGAGAAAAATAGACTCTGGGCCCAATTTGCTAGGCACCCTCCACTCCTACTGATTTCAGTGGGAACACAATAGGAACACAATTTTATTCTGGTGTGAAGGCTGGGGGAGTGGTTGAGAGTTAGCCAACTATCCTCTCTTAGTTTTTGAAATGCTGTATTAGGTGGAGAGAACACTACACCATAATGCTTGTATAAAACTGAAAAGAAAGCTCAGGTGCATTTTAATGAAGTAACTTAACCAGTTTAAAGAAATGCTTATCTTTATACGCATGTATAATTCAATATTTATAGAATATTTATTTATAGAAAGTTTCACTAGGAAAATCAATCTATAGAAAATAAGACAATAAGCATCACTATAAATCAGAATACCCTATCCCTTCACTATAAGGCTCTCTGTTTTAAGGCTACCTCTGATATAAGGCTACTTCAACTTGGTTTCTAGAAAGAGTAAAGGAAACTCTTGTCAATACATTAATAACCATGCTACATTAAAATAAAGAAAAGAGCAAATATCTCTCCGTAGCTAGCTTATATTTAGGGCAAGTTTTTATGGACTAGACTCTTACTTAATATCCACTTAGCTATTCAAAATTATTCTACTGTAATGCAAATTTAAAATACATGAGGCATTTTTGTTCACGTTCTGCAATAAAAAATTGATCTAGAGCAATCTAAATGTTTGTATTTAAGATGATCTCCACTTTTCATAAACATACATTCCTTTACATAAGTATCTTAAGTAGGTGATTATATTCTTTGTATTCTATATGAATCTACATTTGGAAACCCTTTTTAAAATAGCACATTTTCTGTACTCTTATGTCAAACATATTCTAGACACTAGTTTGTCTTTGGAATGTCTAGTATTCAATTGCCTGTACAATACAAATCTGTACTTGAAAGTCATTGTGTGCATTAATTTATAACTGACTTCGCTTTTTTGCACATGAAGCTAAAAAACTGACCTTATATATACTGTAGTGATAAAAATACAAGTTAATTTTTTTCTGGAATTAAGTACTACAACTTACTGTAAGTATATTTCATATTTGTATATGTTTAAAACTATGAGATGTATCCACTTTGCTCAAATTGTATATGGTATTTTGCATCCCAAATAGAGGGCATTAATCTGTTTAAATATAATCTGTGGATTGAAGGCACAGTAGACTTGAAAAAGTTACATGGAAACCAATTTCACCCCAGAGTTTCTAAATGTGTAGCGCTAGCTTTTTCAACACTAGTAGAAGAAGAAAATAATAGAAATTCAGTATTACACGGCTGGAAAATTTTCATTTTGTCAAAGCCAATTTTTTTGTAGAGAATTTTTTTTTCAAAATTTTTTTAAAATTTTTATCAAAACATTAACTTTGGCTGAAATGTTTCAGTCTTCAATGGCTGGAAAATGAAACTCAAATTTCAGTTTCTTTTATAAAAAACTAACTTTCATTCTTGTGGGGAATTTTTTCTCTAATCAGCTCTATTATATATGCGAAAGCCCAGAATCTCAGCTGGTGTCAACTGGTATAGATCCTCTGAAGTTACTGGAAGCTGGACAGCTTAAACCAGCTGAGAATCCCTCCCCAAAAGTGATTTCTCCCCCTTCCCTAGGAATATTCACCTCTCTGCAAGATACAGAGATTTCAAAGGTGTGGATGTGGCACTACACAATAATATATCATCAAGAAACTATTGCAGAAAAAAGGAAAAGGAACTAAGCAAACTAGTTTTGGGAAATGCAAACTCATGGCTATTGCAATCGAGCAACTTTTCTTTCAGGTTACTTTACAACTTCTGGTAGTGAAACAATTTCCTTTCTCTCCTTGACTGGCTTTATCAGTACATATCCCTTTCCCCTAAAACCAACAGCATGCCACTTAACATGATCCATAACTTTTCTTATGTCTTGAGCAGCAAAAATGGCAGCATATTTCTTTTTCAACATATGGCCTTCAAGTACTAGTTATATACCCCACCTAATATTTTTAGTGTGAGTGATCAGTACCAAAGACTTCTGTTGCTAGGTCCCAGTCACTCTATTTCTAAAGCAGACAAATGTACACAAAACATCCAAAGGTGCTTCTACAATACAAACACAGTAAACATTTTACAATGACTTTCAAGCAAGCACACCAAATTCAAATAGACTGGTGATTCTGGTTAATAAAAATGTTTCCTGTTAATGGTGGGTGGTAAACAGTACTGGTTTAGCTGTGCCTAAATTTGTTTGAATGTTTAACAGCACATGGCAGCTTTTCAAAGTCATATTTAATAGTGCTACTAAGCAGTACTACACAAGAAATGTAGTGTATGAAACATGAGAACTTAACTTCATTCATCTTAATTCCATATTTGCAGGGGAGAATATATTACTTTGTGCCAAGCACAGGTTCCATCCAGCTAAAATGCTACTTTTCAGTTTCATCTGGGCTGTTGTACAGTTGTTAAAATTTAAATTAACTATATCAATTCATAATAGATCCTTCAATAAGAATCATCATAGAATTTTGGAGATGGAAAAAGACCCACCTGGACATCTGTCCCAGCCCCGACATTGCAGGATTGTTCTCCTGTTTTCTAGTGCTTTGTCTAGAAAGTTTTTGAACCTCTCAAGTGACAGACTCATATCATGTTCCTTGGAATACTATTTCACTATGAGGTGATTATGGTTAATAAAATGGGGTGGCGGGAAATCAAGGCTTATAGGTAAATGTCTTCATGTTGATGGAGTTTAGCTGAGCACCTGAGTCAAATCTGGATATCTGCCTCCCACTGAGCTAGCAGTTGATATATTGATCGTATTATCGACAACTGAATTTTACTCTGATCTTTATAAAGTATGACATTAGTTGCTACTATAGATCTTACGCCCAGAGAAATGACAGTTGTGGTTAAGCATATGCCACAACATAGAGAGGGACATACACTCCTCTTGGTTCCTCCAATAAAAATCTGGACTAACTCCATTGACCTCACTGTCGCTTTCACTGAGATCAGAATTGGGCTGTGAGACTCTCTCTGCCTTGTGTATTTATATTTTTTCCCCTCTTCCTTCAGTTGTAAGATCAGATTATTCCATCTGCTGCATGACTTGGAGGAATTAAAAGTAGCATCAATTCTGCTCCAATGCCCTCAACTCTTCTGGAGCAGGCTTCATGTCAACAAGGTCTCTACTCCTCCAAGGGACCTTTAGATTTTAAATATTTGAATGACATCTGTTACATTTTCCTTGGAAGGCTCTGGGATATCAGTATGAGGAGTGGTGAGTACCTGCAACTCCCACTGAGTTGCAGGTCTTCATCTCTCTTGGTACCAAGCCCATGATTTGTGTGTGTAGTTGTCTGGATAGGTAGAAAGAAGTCCAGCCCCCATGATGTCTTGAGAACTTTCCAGTCCCATTGTTGTTCTAGAAGCTACCATTTTCTTCCTCTCAGATCTCAACATCCCCACCCACACTCCCTACCATGGGGCCCAAAGCAGGTAGTCATCCTTCAGGTGAGAATGGTGACTGACATCCTTCAGGGCTGATGACAATGCTGTTCCTTAGATCATCCAGCAAGATGGGTGTACACAGGGAGCAACCATCACCTCTTCCACCAAAGCTTAGCAAGTACTATTACAAAAAGCAGGAGCACTCATTAATTTAAGAATTCAGCAGAGAGGCTTCTGCTGTACCTAGCAGATCGGAACTTGACCTCATGATAACATTGCACAAAGCTATGATAGATGAAAGTAATAGGCAATGCTAATAAAACAATCCCACTAACCACACAAATTCCACCAAGAATCCTTCCAGGTACAGTGATGGGGCACATGTCACCATAACCAACCGTGGTCATCGAGATTATTACCCACCAACAGGCAGCAGGGATGCTGGAAAAATCCTTATTCTTTGTTCCCAAGTCCAGCCCATTTTCAAGGAGTTGTGAAAGTGCACTAAAAATTGCCATAGCAACACAAATAAAGACAAGAAGCATCACCATCTCTCTGTAACAACGCTTCAGAGTCAGACCAAGTGTTTGAAGACCAATGAAGTGACGGGCAAGTTTAATCACCCAAAAAATCCTCATCATTCTAAGAACCCTCAGAGTGACTCCAGCCCTTTGGAGCTGAGAATTTTCCCCTGTGAAAACTGTCATTAGCACAGAGATGTAGTAAGGAGTGATTGCCAGCAAATCAATGATGTTCAGGGGCCTCTTGACAAACTCACACTTGTTTTTGGAGATGATGAACCTCACAATGCACTCTGCAGTGAACCAGCCTATGCAGATAGCTTCAATGATCCTGTCAAAAGAAACAAAGTGGAGCATTTTAATTCTATGAGCATTTTAATTAAGGTTTGTCTGTGGACATTACTAAATTGATATTAATTCAGAGCCTTATTGGAGGGTGTGCCAAATGGTGAGCCACACTATCTTATTTTGAGCTTGTTTGTGTAAATATAATACCAAGCTACAGTGAGTACAACTCAGAACTGATTACTGATAAGGATTTGATTATATCTGCAATTCATTTAGTGAATTCTTTGTTGGAATTACAAATTGTTAACATTACCAATATGTGAGGATATTTCTGCAAAGTCAGGAACACTACAGGATAACGTCTAAAATAATGTAGACAGCTATTAATATCTAAAACTAAAACTCTAGGTCCCTATCCAGCTTAAGATCGCCATACTTCGCAAGCTATCAAACCTACCAAAAGCTATGGAGTGGCAGCTCATTAGCAGAACAACCTGTTAAGGAGAAAGACATGTCTGCTGGCCTGGGCCACAAAAATTAAACCCCACAGTGAGCACTGAGAAGTTGAAATTTCTACTTTTAGGGAAAATAGCTCATGCAAGTTTGCTCTCAACCTCCTGTTTTACAAGTGGGGTCACCACAATCTGCACTAGCTGAAATTTCTAAAGGGTTTAAAAATGTACAGTGCATTGCAATAATCTAATTTCACAGTAACCAAGTCAATGGTGAGGACCACATCTGAAAGAAAAGGGCACAACCTTCTTATCAAGTACAAACGGCCCAGATGCAGGGAAGTATCCCTGTCCAGGAAGGGTGCTTACGCATGGGCTTAACTTTAAGCATATGTTTAAGTCCCAATGAAGTCAGCGAGACTTAAGAACATGCTTAAATGCTTTACTGAATTGGGGCCAGCAGAAGGCACAAATAGCAACTGCTGTTTCTGGGTAGCCAGTAGCTGTTGGGGATCCAGTATGATATCCTGCAGGTGGAAACATGCCCTCTTATTAAATTAATCATGAGCATATCTTGTTAATTAAGAGGGCTAATATAATATCTGCTATTTTCTCTCATGGCTTTCCCCATCTCGCAAGCACTTTCATCTATTTCCTTCAGAAACTCAAAACCCAATAAGACCAGTGCAGTCTCAGTACCATAAGAGGTCTAAAACCCAACTGATGGGAGTCAAAAAGACTTGAAAATTCTAGATTTACTGGAGTTGTTTCACCACCACTGGAGATCCAGAATGGAGCAATATTTGGAGAGACTGTCCATGCCACGCGATGGCTTATTAAGCAAGAATCCAACTATTACTTTAAGAAAAGATAGTGCTTCATGGAAGCACTGGAAATCAGCCCTAACAATTGTGCCAACACTTCTGCATTGGCTTTAACCAGACAGAAAGAACAAACTGTAACTCAAAGATAACAGTCTGTATCCAAAAAATTTCAGAGCCTAGCAAGCATTATAGGCTGAAATGCAACCACAGAAGATTTTGCCTGTTTTGATAGAGAACCAGTTCTGTTGAGAGGCATAGCATGGAATCTAGCCCACATGCTGATGTTTCTCTTAACCACTTGGATTATGTCTACACTGGCAATTGAACAACAAAACTTTTATCTTTCAGAGGTGTTAAACCGCCCCCTTCGCCCCTGAAAGACAAAAGTTTTGCCACGACAAGTGACAGTATGAACAGCGCATTGTTGGCAGGAGCACTCTCCTGCCAACAGAGCTAACCCCGCTCCTCGGTGGTGGACATTTTTTGTCAGCAGGAGAGCCGACAAACAGCGGCTACATTGCATGACTTTTAGCAGCACGGCTGTGGCCACACAGCTATGTCATTAAAAGCTGAGTAGTGTAGACAAAGCCTAAGACAGTGGTCTGTTAGAAAGATAATATTCTTCTTCAGAGCCTTCTGAAACTCATCTGTTCCATTAGCCACTGTGGATTGGTTTTCAATGTAGGTCCTTCTTCCCAACAAAAGAGAGACACCCCAGTCTCAAAAATGGAGGGGGTAGTAATGGTCAGGTAATAACAAGGGAATAATTTCTGCCTTATAAACTAAATGCTACCATTAACAAGAGGTAAGTACCTATTCAGTCAGAGGCAGCCACTGAATCTGCATAGATAGCCAGGGAGGCCCATGAAGCATCTATGAGTTAGGGACCTTTCTCTCAGATAAGGTCTATACGAATACATTGACTTAATTTATCTTAGAAAAGTTGAATGTCAGGGTCGTCCTTAGGCATACGCAGCTGCGTAGGGCACCATGAAATTTGGGGCACCAAATTGCCTCAAATTTCATGGTACCCTAGGCAGCTATGTGCTGCATATGCGGCAGCACCAGCCCCATCCCTTGGCCGGCCCCCCTGCGGGCTGCACCCACTACAAGGCGCAGGACCGTCCCTAGGGGAGTGTGGGGCCCTGGACAACTCCCTCCGCCCTGCCTCTTACCCTTCCCCCCGCTCCGCCCCCGGCCCACCCCCATTCTACCTCTTCCCCCCGTGACCCTGCACTCACCGGAAGGGGCGGGAAGCAGAGCAACCCAGCGCCAGCCCGCTCTACTCCGCCAGCTCCCAGCTGCGGCACTCCGCTTTCCGCTGCTGGTGAGGTTGGGGAAAGGACGCCCCCCACACTCACCTACCATGGGAAGCAGAGCAACTTGGCCCAAGCCCGCTCCGCATCCCTTCTCTTCCCTTGCCTCGGCCACAGCCATGTCGCTGTGGGGGAAGAGGGGGTTGGGGAAAGGTCCG